ATATTTTAGGGGACACCAGTTGACAGGCTTAAGGAGCGCGAGTAGCAGCTTTCCCCTCACGCTCTATGCTAAATCCGCAGAACGAATGAATGCTGACAAAACCGAGTTTTTGCTTTGAGATAGTAGATAAATACAAATCAGTACGATAACCTTTCCTGGTTAAAAAATAAGCTTTTAGAAAATAAATTTAAACACCTTGGATTTAACACAGGAAACATCATTGCATCACTTAGTTTTTTATATATCCATAAAAGAATATCAAGCTTTAGAGCTGTTGAACAAACTCTTACCCAATCTATCTAATCCAATCTGGAATCCGATTTGCTCCTTGTTCATTCATTTTTTAAACATTAAGGTTTCCAGACATTATTCTTATTTGTGACAAAAATTCCGTCTTTAATTTTCATAAATTTGAAGAAATGTAAAATAAAGGTGAAACAGTTTTTACAAAAAGTGAAACATAAAAATCGAACAAACTTTAAAAAGGAATTTTTAAGGAAAAAACTTCTAGTGAAAAACTAGAAATAATTTTCTATGTTGTATTTACCCTATTAGTACTTTTACAATGGGTGGTAAATAGATTTAATAAAATTAAAACATCCAAGAATTTTAAACAATTAAATTTGTATCGAATATATAACGGATTTTTGTATGACTTATACAAAAATCCGTAATATTCGGCCAAATACTACCCGACAGGCATTTGTTTTTAAAAGTTACTTTCTAAATGTCTTTTAAACGTCTTTTAAACGTCTTTTAAACATTAATGTTTAAAAGACGTTTAAAAGTCATTTAAAATAAATTTAGATCGTAACTTTTAAAAACAAATGCCCGTCGGGTACTTAGTAGTATTCAGACACGTGACCTGGCTTTCAGCTTGATATTAAAAAGTCATCAGATACACTAACTAGCATCATACCAGTTTGTTTTTTATTTTTTCATGTTTTAAATAGGGATCTTTTAAACGTGAAAAAAGTTCTAAACTTATGAACGTTTAAAACAAAATATATTTCATTTTGTTAGTATTCAACGAAAGTTTATTTGCGATAAACCACTAAATAAGATATATTAGAATGCGTTTATATTGTGAAAAATATTTTTTAAATTTGAATCTGAAAAGAAAATATTAGTGTCATCAGCAAACATAATATAATTATTTTTTTTTAAAAAGTCAATATCATTCAGATAGATCAACAACAACAAAGGTCCAAGTATTTATAACAACAACAATTTAAGTCGATTTAAGAGGAAGATTAAAAACTATAAAAAGAGGTTTTTTATTAATATCAGAAACCGCTTATGCAGCATATGGGTTAATTTCATCCAGCACTTATTTGTTTTTAATATACTAAATGCTAACCGAAGTTCATCGACGGAAAGCTCTGATTCATCCATCACAAAATCTGGTTTTTTCAAAAAAGACAAATGTTTTGTTTCCTACAGGAATTTCACCAGCTAGTTTTTTTACTTTGTTTATAAAGAAATCATTAAAATTTTCTGCAATTTCTTTTTTTTATTCAAATAATAACTCTTTTATTAACTTCTGTTTGCAATCTTTAAGGCAGATTTTTTAATTTTTTCTTTTTCCACTCCTATTACTTTTTAAATTTCACTTTCCAAATGCTTTATTAAGCAATGAAGAATTTTTTTTTTTGCTTTTTCAATTTTTCAAAGAAGTTTTTATATTTTTTAATACTTTTCATTTTTGTAGTCTCAGTTATTTTTTTAAAGACTTAATGAGTCCTTTTGTCATCCACGAATTAGCAAAGTTTTAGAATTAATAATTGTTTTAACTTTTGGAAAAGCTTTTTCACATTGCTCTCAGAAAACGTGAATGAAAAAATCAAAGTCATTATTTACGTCATTGCAATCAATCAGCTGTTCCTAATTTTCGTTCATGCAAGAGGTGGCGAAACTTGCCATTTTATTCATTGTTTATTCTTTTTACATATACAATTGAGATTGTTTTTTTTTATCTCAGGGGTTTGAGATTTAGTAATTAAAACGTCAGGAAAATGGTCATTGATGTCGGTTTTTAAAATATCACTTTGGATTTTAGCGCTTGTGTTTATTATTAGTGATAATGTTGATGCAACTTTTTTAGACAAGCGTGTTGGCTTGTTAATCACGGGGAAAATGCTGTACTTCAAAAATGTATTTGTCAAACGCATGATGCGGTTATCTATTTTAATATTACCAATAAGTAAACGTGTTTTTTACAAGCTTTGGTAATAAAAAGTTTAAATGGTTTTCAAATTTATTGTAATTAAGAATTGGTGGTTATATGACGCTGTTATAAATGTAGTTTAGTTGATTTATAAATTATTTCTATAACAAATGACTCACAATCCAAGTCATTTGCTCTACAAACTTCAATGATTTATGGACAAAAATAGATACGCCGCCAATACCGGTTGATGGACTAATTTGTATTCTGACAGTTATTTGAGTAATAGTATCCCTATGTAACCAAGTTTCAGATTATACTAAACTTGGTATTTTTATTATTTAACATCTCAAAATTCTTCTGATATTTAAATTTAATAATGAAAGATGTTCAAAAATGTTCTATGCAGCATTGTCCTATGTAGGTTTCTTCGAACAAAAAAAAAGTGCTTTGTTTAGCATTGTCCTATGCAGGCTTCTCCAAACAAAAGTTATTATTTGAACAAATACTATTTAGTAATGTTGTTTTTTTAAATTGTATGATATTTTTTAGGTAAGAGGAGTATTTTCTAATACTGATAGACAAATAATCGGCGCAATATCCAATGATAAAATTATTCTGAGGAAATGCTATTTTTTTATGAACTATATTTTATTATATATAATCATAAATTTTATTATCTGTAAATATATATATTATAAAAATCATAAATTAAAAATAAAACTTTTATATTTTTCTTTAGCCTTACATTTTTTTTTGGCATGGTTGCATGATTTGCGATTATAAGATTTGTGACTGAAGTCTTTATTTGCTTTAAAATAATCATATAATAATCATATACAAGAGAAGGTGAGTAAACATATATATATATATATATATATATATATATATATATATATATATATATATATATATATATATATATATATATATATATATATATATATATATATATATATATATAGAGAGAGAGAGAGAGAGAGAGAGAGAGAGAGAGTTTGCTGTTCAAGCCTGGTTGCCGCATTTCCAACATTGCTATCCTCGAACAAGTCAAACATCGAGTAACAAAAACAATATCATCTATTAAACACCTGTCCTATAAAAATCGACTCCAACTGCTCGGTCTAACAACACTTGAAAAATGCAGACTTAATCAAATAATTTTAAATCACGCGTCAACTCGAACTTGTCAGTTTTTTCGTTCCACAAAAACTTTCAAACAGTAAAGCCAAGTATATTTTGGGAGGGCATAATCAAAAACTAGAACGTCAGATTGTACGAAATTGTGAAGAACGAACGTTTTTTCAAATAGAGTTGTTGTCCCATGGAATGCGCTTTCCCAAGCAGTAGTGAACGCTCCATCTATCCATGCTTTCAAAAACAGTTTAACAAAGTAACTTTTAGAGACATAATTGCTGCTTTGTCTGTGGCTTGTGTTTTTTATTTTCGTCAGCATAGAGGGGGCACCTCTTCGTCAAACTTTCAACAGATTCATTGTTGTTGCTTTTTTTATCCGATAACTGAATAATAATAATAATTTACTCACCAATAGCAACAGACGAAAACGCAGGTTCAGAGGATATCCTAAAGGTTATTCGATTTGGGTGTAAAAACACGTTTAAGAAGAAAATGAACTAGCCGATGACAGTTAGCTTTCAAATATTTTTACAAAAATTAAATTTTGATTCATTTAGTTACTTTTTTGAGTTTCCAGGAACGCACTATTGTCAAACCCTTATTCCGACGTTGAGTGCATTGCGTCCGCGAACTCGTATTTCTAGAAAATAGGCCAAAGGGAGTATATAGGGGTTTGCGCATACACCGACTGATTTTTGGAGAAAACACGCAGCGGAGAGAGGGCAAACAACGTGAGGGTTCGGGGTAAGCAGGTTCTCTTCTAAATGAAGTCGTTTTTTACGTTTTCGGACCTTAAGGACGCGTCGAAATATGGGTTTGACAAGAGAGCCTACCGAGTTTCCAAGATAAACTTCTTAGTAAATGTTTTTATTATCATAGTAACTTAACCGTTTAATTAATAATAGAAGAATGTTTAAACACACATCTTTACGTCAAATTTTCGAAAAATTTGCTAAAATAGAGTTCTTCTTTGCCCCAATATCATACTTGAAGCTTTCAGTTCATCATTAGACTAACTCCTAATATTTAGAGTAATAAATAAGCATTATATTGCATTTACTTGTTTAATAAAATGATATTTTTCGGCCAAAATAATCAATTTTTGTGCTTTTTTAGTAATACTTGTGACGTTACAACTTTTTTTCCTTTAAATTAGAGTATACCAATTACTCATTTTTACGAGGAAAAAATAAGCTTTCCAACGATATGTAATGCCTTAATAATAATTTTTTCTAGGTTGAGTATAAATTCTATAGAAATACTTCTCGAAACTCAGTTACCAAACAACCGTATAACGTACGTATAACGGCCGTATAACCGTATAACGGCCTAATAAATTAATAGCAATACAAACGGAAAGCGATACTACGGACGGTCTGCGACTTCATCATCATCCATATGAATCGCTAACTTAAAAAAGAGGACATGTTATGTAATATTTTCAAGAAATGTCCCCTCTTTAAAGTTAGCGATATATATATATATATATATATATATATATATATATATATATATATATATATATATATATATATATATATATATATATATATATATATATATATATATTTATATATAACTGTCATATCAGTTATTATTTTTCAACTACTTAAAATATCTATTTTTATCTAGCCATCATTTTCAAAAATGCAGTACTTCCCTAAATATCTTAAGGTAAATTTTAGTAAGAAAACAATAACTTTAAAAATTTTTTTTCCATCCAAAAAATTACTTCTGAGCAGGACGAAGACCGGGAGCAGTGATCGGTTGAGTGACTTGTAAATTAGGAATATCTGCAAAATCCTAAAGCGAGGATATGAAATATTTCAAATAACCATTAAAATGCACGCTATACAAATAAAAAAAGAAAAAAAAACAAACTTACAAGAACTTTAAGCATTTCTTTTGTATATGGATCAACTTCTATTACTTCTTGCTCCAAAGCAGAGACCTATACAAAAGATATTAAAACAGTATTATATATATATATATAAAAAGCTCAAAACACATCTGATAGAAAATTTAAAAATTTGGCAGTATCAGATAAAGCAAATGGTTCTCTTCAATTTATTCAGAGAGATTCCCGCTTATAAAGATCATCATAAACCAAAATTATACTAAAAAGAAAAAAAAAACTTAAAAATATGATGGTATCAGATAAAGCAAATATTTCTCTTCAATTTATTCAGAGAGATTCCCGCTTATAAAGATCATCATAAACCAAAAAAACAAAAACAAAAAAAAAAAATTTAAAAATATGATGGCATCAGATAAATTAAATTAGTACAAAAACACATTATGTGCATAATAACATAAACCAAATTTATACCAAAAAACTTTAAAATATGATGGTATCAGATAAAGCAAATATTTCTCTTCAATTTATTCAGAGAGATTCCCGCTTATAAAGATCATCATATACCAAATTTAGACAAATATAATATGATTATATTAAATTAAAGTATAACGCTGGTATTGAAATTTTTCGGATTGTTTGTAAGTTATTTAGCCATTTCTACAGCAAACTGTTAAAAACAAGTTGAAATTATCAGCATTCAAACAATCAGTATGTGTTTGATTAATGTTGATTACAATTATAAACAAATTGATCAATAAGATCAATAGATAATTGAATACTTTTAAATAAATAAAAATAAAACTCCTCATTTCCAACTATATCAAAGATTTTTCAAAAAATATAAAAAATTAAAATAAAAAAAGAACATTTGCTTATCTTAAGGTGCTGAGCTTATAAATTTTACAGATGTCTATCCATATTAAAAAAGATTATAAACATAAATTTTTTTAACTTAAATACTTGTTAAAATAACTACAATGGACTAAATACAATAACTAAAAACCAGCTAGATATTTACATGAGATTTGTTACTGGTGGACTGTAATACTAAATAAACTTTTGAATGAGTTCGTTTAAATCACTTAACTGCAAGGTGGGACAAAAGCTAAGTATTTTACATAATACACAACTTGGAATATCCATTTAACTGAATGGACTGAAAACATAGGACACACAAAATTTAAGATGGCTTTCAATTTAAAAGATATTTACGAAGCTGCAATTAAATATAGTTTATAAGTAAAGCTTTGCTACTGGTATCTTTAATTGTTTAACAAACCAGAGCCTATTCTAGAAAAAAAATTTAAGTGGCAGTACCCCCTCATTTCAGCAGACTTAAGGAGAAAATTAGCAGTTTTTTTTGCGAAAAAAAAACAATATTTGCTATAAAAACATTTTTAAAAAAGTCCCCAAAAATTAACTCAGGCAACTCCTAAGTACAATTGGGCTGTCAAAAAAGGTCTAAAATAACCCCTAAAAACGTAGAAATGCTTTTCTATACGTTCTTGTATATCAATAGTTACTTTAGTACAAAACGCAATTTTCATTAAGAGTCTTTCTAATTTGTTTTGCTAGTAGATTAAATTTTTTTTGTGACGCAATTAAGTAATGTACCTAAGGCCATATAGTTTACTCGAACCTAGAGCCATACATTTGTTTCTCTGATAAGGAATTTGCTTAATTCACGGGGCAGATTGTTGATTTACACATACAAGTAAAAAAATAGGTTTGTATTGCACTAAAGGCCACTAATTTTTAACCCGTCATGGGTTTTTACTTTCATATTTTAAGTCATTTTACCTATATTATTACAAAGTAATTAGTTTAGAGAGACCAGTTTTAAAATTTTTTGGTAATTACCAAACATTTATACTTTAATATATTTTCAGCCAAAATATTTAATAAACAATCAAAACATAAATAACTCTTTGAAAAAATAGTGAACAAGCTTAATTCTTACCAGTTGGTAGTTTTTATAATTTGAATGTTTTATAACAGAAAATTAATTTTATATTAATTGTAACATAAAATATTCTTATATAGTATCGAGATAACTAAAATAGTGTCAATAACATTTCATACAGAATCAGTACAATTTAGAAATCCAAAATAATAACAAAAAATTTATTGTTGACCATGTTCACAGTTTTAAAATGTTTAAAATATTTTAAACAACAATTTTGGTTAAGATGGATATGAATTATGCAAAAATGCAAACATATTAAAGAATCATTCAATTTTAATTAAACCATCTCACACTAATAATAATAGACTTTCTAGAAGAATTACCTCAGGAACATAGTTATCACGACGTTCTCTTTCTTCTTCTTGGAGTTTAATAGAAATCCCACGAACAGGCCCAAGCTCTATACGTTTCATCAAATGAGTTATAAACCTGCATGTTTGAGAAAAACAATTATATTTAAATAAGGAACTTAAATACAAATATGTTTGTATATAAAAATTTAAAAATAGATACAAGACATTAAAAAAAGCATGTCAAAATTTTTGACTGATCATGATAGTGAATTTTATATCACTATTTTTATATCACTATTCTCTATCATAATCAGTCAAAAATTGTATCAAATTATATACATAGTAAATTAAATGATATTTGAAATTTAACTGAATTTTAATAAACTTCTATTAGATAATCAAAAGGAACAATGCAGTAAACTTAACATTTTCTTTACTTTAAAATTAAAGCAACTTCTGTTGATAAACAGGTTTATGTTATAAACAATTGCGAACAAGCAGAAGAAAAAAATTTCAAGAATAGTACTGAAATAATTTAATATTTGAAACTATTTGTTATAATTAAAAATTTGTAAAACCTGTATAAATTTACAATTTGTACAGACTTAATAAAAACGTGATTTATTAAGTCAAATATATTTACAAATCACAAAATTTGTTTTTATTCAGTAAAAACTTGACAAGTATTTATTCTTTTATTTTATTTAACTGATCACGATTTAATTAAATAAAGAAAAAAAGTAAGTGTAAGTTTTACATAATAAATTTTAAGATGTTATTTTCAGTTAAAAAAACCTTTGAAAAGATAATTTTTTTATTTTAATAACTTAAATCAAATGAAACTTTATTTAGACTTATAAATCAAACTTTTTTGATTTAAAATTCTAAACAAAGTTTAAATATTGATACTTCAAGATAACTCAAGTTGGTTTACGATTTTGGTAATAGCAATTTGAAACTTTGTATAACCTTTCGCACAGTATTAATTTTGAAATGACTAAATTTAGTCAATCAACTTGTAATCAATAAAGGTTGGAAAATCTTGCAAACTAAAAGTATATATTTGGTTAGAAACTGGATTTAAATTGACAACTTAGTATAAAATATATAAGTAGAAAAATTAATTATAAATTCACATTTATTAAATTTAATAGAATGGACTTACCCTGCTATTTTATTTCGAAGCTTTTTGCTTGGAATAATTGCAATTTCCTCACAAATTCTTTTATTAGTGTGGAAATCATGAGTGAGCCGAGTGTAATACTTTTCAATAATAACTCTAGAAGCCTTTTTGACGGTCTTTGTGCGGACTCGACCCTAAAACATTTTAATAGCTAGGACTTTCAATTTTTTAAACCATTAAGCAGCAATTGCAAACCACGCCAAGATTTAAAAAACAAAAAAATGTAATAAAAAAACTTTTTTTGTGCAAACTTGTTTATTAAATAGCTTTATGGATTAAAGAGATTCCATGAGATAAATATTGGAATAGATTTTATACAAATTTTTTTATAACCCACCATTTTGCATCAATTAGAAAGAACGAGACTTGAGCGCTGTTGAATTTTACGGGACCGAGAACTAATCACTAAAAGATGCACAATCGGATAAAGCAGTTACACGAACAGAAATCAAAAATCGAAAAAAAGCTTAAAAAACTAAAAAAAAGCTTTCCTCTCGCTCTCTATTTTTTATTTTTCTCTTTTTTTATATATTTCTTGATCATTTTAAAACATTTTTTAAAAATATTAAATTGATAATATTAAAGCTTCACCAACTTTCATCGATAAATCTTATTTACGGCGATAAAAAAGAAATCTCAGAGAAGATTACAAAGACCTTCTTGTCAGTACCCTAAATAAGTGTAAACGAGCATTTCATAAAAACAATCTTAAGAAAAGAATTTATAAATATCTAAGCTTATTAAGCAGTGCATTTGAACGCGTGTATTTTTAAGCATTTAATATCAGGCGGGCGGCTTGTTTTTGTTTTTTTGTAAATTTGTGTCAGTTTTGACTGAAAAGCGCTTGCCCAGGCAATGCACTGTGGAAAATAGTACTACAAAAACGTACCATAAATGTTTTTTGCTCAAATTTCAGTTTTACTACTGAAATTATATTTTAATTTTTTTTAATAGTTTAATCTTTACAGTATAAAATGTAAATTTAATAGTTTAAATTTAATCTTTGCTATTTTCTTTAATAGTTAATCTTTACTATAATTTAGGAATTTCAGCTAATTTTATGTAAAAAGATAATTTTTACATAAAATTAGTTGAAAAAAGATAATTTTTACATAAAATTTGTTGACTGAAGATCATACGATCTTACCATGAAGCTCTTTACAATATCAAATATAATAATTATAACAATAAAATCAAATTAACCAATAAAAATAAATCAACATATACTATATATAACAGTGCATTTAAAATATAAATATACTGGATAAAATAAATGAAACAAAAAAATTAAAAATAAGAAAAAATATTTTCTGCTGAAAAGATAACTTCTTTTAATTTTCGTTTAAAAGAAGTTAAAGTCCATTTCAAAGACAAATCAAAATTTGGCAAAACTATTTTATTCCATAATTTATGGAATAAAATAGTTTTGCCAAATTTTGATTTGGCATAAATTTATGGCATAAATAAGAACCGCGATAAGAAATAAATAGTTGTTCAAATTTAGTTTGGCAGAAAGGTTCTTGTAGATTTTTTCCATTCCGAAGATTGTATTTGTTTATGGGTTTTACATTATAAAAGTTTATAAATACATTAGGAGATAAATGATTGTTACATTTAAACATGAAACATAAATATTTCAAACATTTATTTCGTATACATTTAAGGCTTTCTCTCAGAAGTGGTTTTGAATTTAAAAAACGATTTACAAAATTAATTAAGCGAGCTGCGTGTTTCTGATGCTGATAAAAAGATTTAAGTTTAGTTTTTTGCGCACTTCCCCATACAATATTTGCATAATTTAAATGTCAAAATTTATATATTTCCAATACATTTAGCAACTTTTATGGAGATATTATCGATTTGTTATTTCCAAGATAAGTTTTCGTCTACAAGAACTCCGAGAAGTTTTGTAACTTTTTCCCTTTTTAGTACTGTATTATATCAATAAAGAGGTCAGGCATCGTATTTAATAAACATTTTTTACTGGATATTGTGTAAAAAAGTGTCCATTTTGTTTTATAAATATTGAGGGACAATTTGTTTTTTTTAAACCAATATGAGATTTTATTTAATTTTTATGTCATATTATCAAAAAGTGTATTTTTGTTTTCATGAAATTGGAATAAGTTTGTAACATGAATAGGGTTGTCATCAGCAAAAATTATAGTAGTTAAGTTCATATATATATATATATTAAAAATAATAGAGGTCTAACTATGGATCCCTGTGGGACACCACATGTTACATTCATTAATAAAGGCAAAGAAGAGTCTTGGATATTAACGAATTGCTTACGATTACTAAAATAGCTATTGAACCAGCTCAGAGATTTATTTTTAATTGCACGGAGTTCTAATTTTTTTAATAAAATATGGTGATCGACAGTATCAAAAAACAAATTAATGAATACTCCGAGGGTATAATGAGAATTTTTAAAAGAGACAGAAATGCTACGTGTAAGTTGGAGAATGGCGTGTTTAGTATAATTGTCTCTCTGGAAGTCAAATTGATTGTAATATAAAAGTTTAGTATCAACAAAATAATTGTAGACACTATTATTCATTATTCTTTCTAGTATTTTAGAGAAAACTGGAAGAACTGAAATATGAGGATAATTTGTAATGTTACATTAGTCACCGTCGATTTATTAAAATTCAGGCGCGTATACGTGTGGTTTCCAAAATTATAGATAAAAAAGAGATAAAGGTTAGAAAACCGTGTTTTGTCGTGGTTAGACTATATCTGGCAGACTATATCTGGCTATATTTGACAGAATATATCTGGCTATATTTGACAGAATATATCTGGCTATATATATACTATATCTAGAATATATATGACAGACTATATCTATTTATAACAATAGTTTTACGTAAGTTTTTTTGTCAATTTTTTATTGAGAATTAATTTTGATGGACATGCATTCTATTATTTTTGAAGTGAAAATCAGCAATTTTTGAACACTGCGTTATTTAAAAAATAATATGTAATGGGTTGAAAAATTTATATCACTGCAACAAATTTACAGTAGAAACGAAAGACTTTGATTATTTTCTAAAATGACAACATTTAAGTGCTCGAAACGTAAACTGTTACTTTCCTATATTGATGGAGGAAGGCCAATTTAGACACTATCAATAGTTTTAAAGGAAAATTATCAAGTTTCTCAAAATTTCCAAGGCGTCACGGAAAGTGAAGTTTTTTATCTAACAACAGTAATTGATTAGATTCTAAATATAGTGCATTTTTGCCGAAATCAAAAAACGCAATAACAGACTCCACGCCATCTACATCATTTGAAAAACGTGGAAAACCGTGCATGTGTTATTTGTCAGAGACCAGTAAAAAAAGTAAAAATTCCACATTTGTTAAGGAAATTGGATTTGAGCACATCTTTAATGCATATCTTCATGCATTACGTTCAATAGAAGAAGAAATAGAAGCATAGCTTGTGGAAGCATTAAGGATTGCCGAAAAAAAAGAAAGAAAGATTTCTGTCTCAAGTTTTATGAAAAACACACACGTTTTACTGACGGATGAAAAAAAACTCAGTGTTTGTTGATTTAGATTTAGCTAAAGCACAATATTTATACTTGAGGAAGTTGACAGATGAAAAAAACTATTCCTTATTCCCGTATTACAAATTGCAAGAAATTAAACAGACCTGCTATCCACCTCATCCAGTGATGACTTCTCTGGCCAAAGCAAGTATAAGCAGAAACTTCTAGAGGAATCTGAACTTATTTCTGATGCAAATTTTTTTTTTTTTTTTTTATTTTTATTTTTTTACAACAATCATTATTATATATTTCAAAAACAAATAACATTTACATGTCTCCAGTTTATATAAATATTCCACAAAAATATTTACAATTATTTAAAGAGCGTTAACAAGTTACAATATATTAAGAACGTTAACTGTTTTACGCATACGCGTTTAACATCGAGTCAAAATAATAAACTTAAAAATTCGTAGTTTATAATACAAAATTTTGGCTATTAATCCATGCATTTAAAAAATATACGCAAGTCCGTCGCACTACAGGGCTACTAGGGACTTGCTTGTCGTTGTCGTTGAAACTATATATTAATAGTATTCTGTAGTTGTAAGGAAACTAGCAAAAGACTAAGAAAAGTCTTTTCATCGAGAACCTTTAAAATACAAAATAAACTAAAAATTTAAAGAGTAAATCTATAAAACACATATTAACTTTTTGAAGTCATCTGTTCAGTAATATTTTACTATGTATAGTTTACTATATGTATTTATTATAATTTTTTTAGATTTATGCTTTTATTTTTTTTTTATTTCTGTATTTATTTTTATAGCTTAAATTGTTCTTTTTACATTTTATTATGTAAATTGTTCTTTTATATTTAATACATACCGATAAAATTGGTTTTGTTAATTATGAGATCTTTTAGTTTTTTCTTCAGGGCAATAAGATTATCCAGTTTAGTAAGTTCTATATTTTGAGGTATTATTTTGTTGTATAAATAGGGGCCACGGTATACAATTGAAAATGTCGAAAAATTAGTTTTTTTTAAGGGCAACGAAAAGTTTCCGGTTCCTCGTGTGATATATCTGTTGGCGTTGGTTTGAAAAAGTTATAAGTAAAATGAGTTGAAACAAGTCCGAGCTTATATTTAAGCATAAATAAAATATTTTGGTAGATGTTAATTTGATAGATATTTAAAGCAAGTTTTTCAGTAAAGGATCGGCATGAGTGAATTTATTTTTATTATAAATCAATCTTGATGCGTGTTTTTGGTGTATATATAGAGAACTTAATTTAGATTTATTTGTACTTCCCCAGGCAATATTAGCATATGTTAGGAAATTTATTAGTTCTTTGGTGCCGATCAGATAAGTTGTTTGGCAAAATCTGGCTTCTTCGTCTGTACTTTTTTGTTGACCTACATGCATAGTATTTTGCAAGAGACTCATAAGGAAACTAAGGTTGTTGTAGATGAAATAAAAAAGCCAAATATACTCTTTACGGCTATCTATAATTAGCAAAAGTTGTAAAGGAATACAAGTGAAACATGAACTTTTTTTAACAATGATAGTATGAAAAGTGGCTCAGGTATTAACGGATATGTCTCCTGGGTCTACATGTACAATATGTGGAGCATATTGTACATGTTGACGCAGAATATGTACAATATGCTCCATGTAAGACATGTAGACATATACTCCACGACAAATGAACGATTTGACTAAAGTTTCTACTATTAACTGCGTTTATACGCAGTTAAAAGTATAAACTGCGTATAAACTTTTTTGCTTTAAATATATTTCAATAAAATTATATATTTATAATTATAAAATTGCAAATACTTATTTTTCTATTATATCGAAATATAATTAAAACAAAAAAATTTATTTGCAGCCATCTTTATCAAATTCAACATAAATAAATTTTGTATAACAAGAATATGAACTTAAGATACGAACT